GGTTCAAGCTCACCAGCTGCTCCTCGGAAACTCTTACAGGGTCTCTATGGGTCAGAATCGACTCGATGGCACTTCACAACAATTCTCTAGTACCCTTCTCGAGTGAAGATAAAGCCGGCCTATAAAGATGTCTGTATCCATAAGTACACCCTTAGGATGCTACCCTGGGGTGGGACAGGAGAGGCAAGCGCCCAAAGCCACCTACACCCTCCAGTAGTTCCCACGCCCCTCCCAACGCAAACCGGCCCCACCCCTTGCGCGCGCTCCTTTTAAAACTTCGCGGGCTCTCTGTGCGCAGGCGCAGTAGTACGTGACTCTCAGTCGCGCGAGCGCAGTGACGGTAGGATGGTCGAGTTGGTACCTTTTGTGGTGCCCACCGACAGCAACAAAACCTTGGTGGTTTGGGAGCTGAACTCTGGGCCAACAGCCGAAGACTTGCATGTGAGCCGGGGCCGTGGTGGAGGGAGGAATGGGGAGATGACCGGGAGTCCTGAAGTCTATGTTACCTCTTCGTTTCCTCACCCGCCTATGTCGGTTCCTCTAGTGCTTTGAACGCAAGGGAAGTAAACTGTTAGCTGGAGAGCGGAGCCCAGCAGTCATCTAGCCTCAACAGATTTTACAGAGAGCTAGAAAATGACGCTCTCCACCACCAGCACACATTGCCTACTAATGCCTCTCGGGTTTTAGAATGGAAGAGGGTTTAAAACGTGTTCATGAAATGCCAAGTGTTTGAGTCGCGCCCTCTTGGAGAAGGGCTTGGGGAATGTAAAGTTTGTACTTTTGTCTGCACACACTTACTTGGCGTGGGACCTCTCCACAGCACTTTCTGTTCACAGTGTTCTCCCAGTTTGGCCTTCTGTATTCCGTCCGTGTCTTCCCAAACGCTGCAGTAGCCCGCCCGGGCTTCTATGCCATCATCAAGTTTTATTCGGCAAGGGATGCACACAGAGCCCAAAAGGCATGCGACCGGAAGCAGCTTTTTCAGGAAAGTCCGGTGAAGGTGAGTCTAAATGTGGGTGGGATTCCTAGCTCCACCAGGATGAAGTTCTGACTTCAGTGACACTAGGCTAGCATTTGCACTGCCAGAATGCACCTTAGATGTGAGGGTGGTGAGGTTTCATCTCATTGACTTTAGACATGTTATTAGGAGACATGTTATCCTTGAAGAAGGACGTGATCATGCTTGGTAAAGTCAAGGGTCATGGAAAAAGAGAAGACCCTCAATGACATTGATTGACAATGAGGGAGACGCAGGGCCGGGCAATGATTTCTTAATGGTGCCCTGGGGATCGCTGAGTTGGAACCTACTGGCTGACATCTAACAACATTGTTAAGTTGTTCACTTTGGTTCACAAAATGCTTTCATCATTGCCACACCGCACTGACCCCTCCAGGTCCCCATTTTTCAGATGCAGAAACTCAGAGTGGTCAAGTGATTGTGCTTACGGTTCAGGACAGTCCTTGTTTAAAGTCAATGTTGGAGAAACGAATAGGCGGGCCTGGGCTTGGCAGGGTTAAGGGAGAGGCCAAGCACCCGGTCCAATAGCTCTATACCCCATCCGCCCAGAAACGACCCCGCCCCTCGTGCACGTTCTCCGGAAAACGTCGCAGGCACGCCTTGCTCAGGCGCAGTGGCACTAATCTTAAGTAGGATGGTGGGGATTGTGTGCTGTGGAGTTGATTGAGACTGTAAATGATTTCCGAGGCTGTAAATCTTTACGGGATCATAAAGCCTCATTGTTCTCCTGCAGAACAGCTGGTAGTTTCGAACTACTGACCTTGAGGTTAGCAGCCCGATTCGTAAGCACTACGCTACCAGAGCTCCTTATGTCATTCCATGTTAACCCTAAATTGTTAAAAGCTCCAAAAGAAGACTCCTGCTTAAGTTTAC